AAAAAAGAATCAGGCCAACACCCTGCCAAGCCAACCAGGACTGCTGGACTGTGGCCGGGACACTGGTGTGGTTCTTTTGTTTTGTGTGTGAAGCTCCCAGGGCCCCATGTCCAGATGTCTGACTGTCCCCACAGGAGAACAGCGAGCTCCTTCCCTGGATTCACAGGAAAAGCTACAGGGTAGAGGTCAATGTGCCGTGGCTATGAACAGAAAGGGAAAAATCTGTGAGTTCCCCATCGAAATGTATGCACTGCATCTGACATAAATACATGAAAGAAAACTCTTTAAAACTGTAACTACTGGAAAAAAATATTTCTTTTCCTCGGTACTTTTTCCCCAAAGCATTTCTTCCTACTCTTCCAAATGTTCACTTTTTCCAACCAAGCCTTTATCTTTACTTTGCTCCTTTGTTTACAATGAAAGCTGTCTTCACTTGCATTTCCCAGAAATGCTGTTTGGGGTTATTTTTGGTCAAGTTAATTTGCCCCATGTGACCTATGCAGTTCAGCTCAAGTGCTCTCTGACTCAGGCTCACAAGCAGGGCCCAGTCAGCAGCTTAGTGGACACGAGAATAAAGACTCGCTCGGTTCCCAGTGTCGCCTTGTGTTGCTGCTGGGAAGGCGCTGAGAAGATGCTCTCCAATGACAGAGCCCAGCTCAACCTGGACGGATGTTTCCCATTACGCTCAAAGTCCCTGTTCCTGCAAGCAGCAGGTTCTATTTCTAAACGACGCCCGACGTGCTTGCCGGCCAGCTCACCTCCCGTTTCACCTTCACAGCTGGAATCTCCTATGGCCCACGGGGTCTGGATCCTGTCACGGCCCTGACATCCCCCACGGCTCCCCTCCGCTCCATCCACTGCGGCCACCGGAGGTGGGACCCACAGCCGGGAGGCCTTTGCCCCAGCTGCACCCTCAGCAGGGAGCCCCTCGACCCCATCTCGTGCACGGCTCCGGCTCCACAGCCGCGGCCTGCTGACCATGCCACCATGGCCAAAACTTCGTCTGGCAAACGTTCAGCTTCCTCCACTGCACCTAGCTCGTAGGATTTTTGTGAGAATTAAATGAAAAGCATTTAAAGTAGTTAAGTGTGCTGGAAAAACATCCAGGACTCAGTGAGATGTTAGCGGCTGCTATGACCATTGCACGTGCCGGCCAGCCATGAAGGCCATTACACAGGCTCAAGTGCCAACACACGGTGCTATGAGGACACGTGGAGGCGACACATGCCCACGAGGTCCCACAGAGAAGCTCCCCTGGGCGGCCTCAAATCCGGGGGCAGGGTCCGTGCTCGACCCCACTGTCCACACCCCGAGTGCAGCACGCAAAGCTGCACTGCTGACCACGCCCAGGGTCCAGGTCCAGGGAGCCCCACGGTTTCCACATCCCCGTCCCTGGAATCTGGGGGCTGCCTCCCCCTCTAAATAGACACTCCACCTACAGATGGACTCTTCCGTGACAAGCGATCAGCACACTGCAACTACAGGTAGACAAATGCCCTTAGGAGCGATGCTCACATGTCACAGGCGCGCAATCTCATCCCCAACCAGCAAGTGCAAATCGGTGCAAGTGTCTCAACAGCAATTAGGTGTATGTAACAAACTTTTATTACATCTGTACCTTTGGACCCACTAATCCCGCTGGGAGGAATCTATCCTAAGAATATAGCCAGCGATACAAAGATTTGTGTGCAAGAAGGTTCATCTTAGCTTTAGAAGGACAAAAATAGGGAATTCCCTGGCAGTCCAGGGGTCAGGACTTCGAGCTTTCACTGCTGAAGGTGTGGGTTCAATCCCTGGTAAACTAAGATCCCGCAAGCCGTACAGCACGGCTGAAAAAAAAAATGACATAAATATCCAGCAAGATTAATATTTAAGTAAGTAAATAAATTTACATCCAGGGGCTTCCCTGGTGGCACAGTGGTTAAGAATCCACCTGCCAATGCAGGGGACACAGGTTCGAGCCCTGGTCCGGGAAGATCCTACATGCCGCAGAGCAACTAAGCCCGTGAGCCACAACTACTGAGCCTGCGCTCTAGAGCCCACGAACCACAACTACTGAGCCTGAGCCCTAGAGCCCACAAGCCACAACTACGGAAGCCCT